AATTAAAATTAAAATTAAAATTAAAATTAAATCAAGAGATTGTTCCACCTCTCCCTTCAAAAGCATAAAAGAGCAGCTGCAGGTAACGTTTCATCTTGTCTCCCTGTATAACCATTAAGCAGCAAACTGGGTTTTCTAGAGAAAGGTCTTGCAACACCTTTCAGGAAGGCTGCAATTTCCTTACTGTAGCAGTCTGGGAAAATGATAATGTCTTAAAAAAAAATAAAAATAAATTTAAAAAAAATCAAAATGAACCTGCTTTACACGGACACGTTCACCCACAAAAGAACAGGGCAGCGCTGCCGAATGCCCCCGGCTGCTGGCAGGGAGGCCTGCCTCGTATTATGGTGGGAATTTAGATGGAAGTAGCTACCAAACATGAGAGAGGATGAGACAGCCACTTACAGCAAAGCACCAGCTGCTTCTGCTACTTTGGCCTTAAAGCTTGTTAGTCCAGCAATTTATTTATTTTATTTTTTTATTTTTTTTCTATCTCTTCAATTGGGTTTTCTTGCAGTTTGTGGTTTGTTTTTTTTTAATTTAATCCTAGTTTCCCTTCCACATCTCGTTAAGCTGTGTTGATGGCAGAGAATAGCTTCAGTGATCCCTCTGAGCCCCTACGCTGAGCAATAAGCCGTAAACTAGGAATGTAAGACTCTTGTCTGAATTAAAGTCTTTTTGCCTGGTATTACGAAGCAGGGGGCTGCGTTTGGAGGGGCTGCAGGGGTGTGCAAAGACCCCAGCCCCTCACTGGAAACATTTGCAGCATCAGTGCTGCTGGATCTGCCCCGGATCCCCGCCCTGCACACTCGCCTCTCCTCTGCCCCGCGTTGCTTCCATGCAAATCCTACAGGTTCCAGTGGTGCAGAACTGCAAATCCCATGTGCAACTTGGGTCATCTCCTGATGGCATGGTCCACCCTGTCCTCCAACCCCCCTGGGTGAGAGCTGGGTGTCCCCCCACCAATGCAGTCAGCTCCCCTCCCCAAAAAGCCTGGTTGAGGAAGGGTAAGGGGGGTGGACACGGCACCCAGAGACCCACTGAACATATGGGGCTACCTGTGGCAAAGAGCTGGGTTGATGCCACGCTGGGCTGGTTCCTTATCTCCTGCGGGGTACGAGCATCCCTCACCCCAAGCTAGCAGGTTGCAAACTCACAGGCTCCAGCTTAAAAATCCATTTGGATGCTCATACCCCCCACATCACCCCCACACCCCAGCCAAAAAGGTACCAATGCAGCACCTACCTCCATCCGAGTAGGTCTCTGTCCCGTAGCCATCCTGTAATCCATTGCTCCAGGTGCCTTCGTACTTGGCCCCATTTCCAGTGCATTCTCGGACCCCGTACCGTCCCTTAAATCCATGGGTCCACTCTCCTTTGTACACCCACTTCCCCTTGCTCTCCATGCCAATGCCATGGCGCTTGCCCTGCGCCCAGGTGCCCTGGTAAGTGTTGCCACTGGGCCAAGTGTAGACCCCCAGCACCTCAAAGCCATGACTCCAGGAGCCCGAATATTCACCTTGACCCTTTGGGCCGGTACAAATTCCGTGGCCATGAGCCTTTCCGTCCTCCCAGCCTCCACAGTACGACCCTCCATCGTCAAAATTAAACCTTCCCCCACTGGACATGCATGTAATTCGGTTTGCAAATCCCTCAAAAGGTGAAAAAAAAAATAATAATAAAATAAATAAAAAAAATGTAGAAAATAAAATGTGAATGATGACTTGGAGGGGGGAAAAAAATAATAATAATTAAAAATTAAAAAAATATATCAAATCAAACTCA